TAATTTTAGACAAGAAAATACGTTAACTTTTTTATTAATACGAGCTATTCTATGACAGATTATCTAACGAAAGAAATAAGATTTTTTGTGCTTTTTTCAACTTAATTGAAGATTAACTGACCAAACGATTAGCAATGCTGGTCTGTCGAGTCAAAATTCGTTGAGAAACAGTCGAAAGCCCTGGAATCGGCGATTCAGAAAGCATTTTTTGCAGATTCAATTTCCTAAATGGCGATGCTTATTTTAGTGTTTTGGAAGATGAATTAATTCGGTTTTCTCAGAGAATCATCGTTATCTGCAGTTGCTAAGCAACTAAAATTTTTATAGTTCTTCGTAAATAAATTAATTGCTTGTCTAATTAAAATGCTTGGTAATCAGTGTGATGTGATTTAAAAAAAAACCTCTTTCAAAATTGAATTTAAAACATTCAGTTACTTTGCACCTTTGTTTTCGTGGCAAGGTCGATACTATGTTAGTGCCCAAGAGCTATCAAAATTTTCTTCACTTTTTTTTTTTGAATTACCATATCCTTCAAAATTAGCATTTAAATTAATATACCATGTAAAATGGCAGCCTCGTTGGAACGTTATAACTAGCAGAAACTGCACCTTTGAAAACCATATTTGGAAAAACTACACTTGTCTTACCTGTAAAAATATTTAGAAAAATCTCGAAGTTTTTTTAATAGCAGATTTGTAGTGTAAGTGGTATTTACGTTTAAAGATTTTACATTGACAGAATATTATTTGAAAAGGTAAATAGCGTTTTAGCTGCTTTTGACCTAAATTATTTTGCTAATAAATAGCAGTTATTCTTTGGAAAATCTGAAGATTTTATTTAAAGTTTCAAACTGCAGAGTAAATTTTTACCTATTTTGTTTAAATCTTTTTTTTAGCCACTTTTTGCGTCGTTTCTAACAGAAAGTATTATAAAAGAGGAGATTTTAAGTTGTTTTTTTTATTTTTTGCATTTTAAAACTAGTTCTTGCCAAATGGGTTCTGAAAAAGATGGTCTCCTTGTAAGCACCAGTGTTAGTTGATAAACTGTAATGAAGTATATCTTCTGCTTGTCTACTAAGATTTTTGTTGCTTCAAGAATAGTTAGCCCAATTTTCTTTTATTACAACTGTTGCTGGAACTGGGAAACTCTTGTTGCGCAGTCTGGAAATCTTTTTGAAGCTACGTTGAAGAACTGGTTATGTGAGCTTAGTTTAAAGGCGCTAAATTTGTTATTTCTAAAGCAACTGGTCAAAGACTACAAAGTGACGATAAAGATCGCTTGCCAAAAAAAAGACAAAGTCAAAAAAAAAAAAAGAAAGAAAGAAACGGCGTACGGAAATCCACTGATACGACACGAAAATCAAACAATTTGAATGGAGGACTCGTTATCTGTGAGACTTGAATTCATTTGAAGGAAGTAAATGTTAGGATGTATCGGACAGCTGCAGAATAAAGTAATGGAGTGACACAGATGAAAAAGCAGCTTTAACGATCACAAAACTGACACTGTAGTCCTTCTATGTTAGTTTTTGGCTAGGAGCGGAGGTGAAGTATGCCCTTGCCAATCTTCTCTCATGTCCTCTTGCTGACGCCGAACGAGCTGACTGAATAAAAATTGTCTCTCAGATCCAGATGTCTAGATGCTGGATTTATCGTGCTGAAGACTCCTGGTTGTTGGCGTTGCAAATGCTTTAACTTCTTACTTAATGTTGCATTTGATTTTTGTCCTTTACACTGTCACTGCTGCAACTGCAACAGTGACAGTGTACTATTGATACAACAGATCTTTTTTATTATATTCTTTTGCGTAAAATCTCTAAAATTTTTCTATTAAGATACTGCGTACTGTACCTATTACTGAACTGAACGGTTGTTTTGCTATAATGTTCTCATGGTTTAAATGTCATTTTAGGATAATACTATGTTTTTTTCCGGTACAAGTGTGATATCTTTTGTCATCGGCAAGTGTACCTGATTTACGTCTCATTGATGCCTAAAAAAAAGTTTTTTTATACCGTTTTACTAATAGTCACTGCCCTGATTCTTTTCTGAGTCTTCGTCTACCTATTTTCTGTTTGTTATTTTAAATAAACAGCCTTTGCCAATAATACAACTACTGCACGCGAAACACAACATATATCAATTAAAATTTTGGAAAGAACGAGCTCGTTTCTGTATGAGAATTTCTTGAACATTACAGCAACAATTTCAAACAAAGCGGATTTTGATAACAAGCCCTAAGCTTGACTTAGTGGTTGGTCTACCGTGTGTGTTTAAAAAAAAAGTTTTCCCGTTTTCATGGCATACATAACAAAGAAGCCTTTAGCAACTTGAAATAAAAAATGACGAATGGAAATCGGGTTTTGTGCTACTGCCTTTGTAAAGTATTATACCGTGATAACATAAGCGTTTTATGTGAAAGCAAGGCTCACAAGAGCTTTTACTTATTTGAGTAATAACTGTTTATGTTGAAAACTTAGTGGATGAGTGTATAATAAGATTTCTTCTAATTTATCATAACAAAATTCAATTTTGTCATTTTGAGCTGAACTACCCGAAATGTAACGTGTCTTTTTTAGCTGAGAAAGTTAGTTTTACCAGGCAGTTTTACAGATTAAAATCAATTTTTAAAACAAAAGTTTCTCTAAAATGAAAAATTTTTAATTAAATATTTTTTAAGCAACAAGATGTGAAACACTAAAATTTTTTTTATTTTTAATGTCAAGGCATTTACATAAATTATGCAATTCAAAAGTAATTAAATTGAATATTAGCTTTATTATGCCGTGAACATTGGTACTACCAGACAGGTGAATAAAATTTGTGTCGCATTAAAGCTTTCATAAGAATCTGTATGATTTTCTTTCAGATTCTGAACAAAATTTTATAATAAACAGTTCCGATGTACAGTTGTTTTGGTGTCATAAGGTCTAAGCCCCAATATTTGTCATTCATTGTCTGATACTTTTCTTAAGGAAAGTTTGCATTTAAAAAGTTCTTCAAAGAAGAACCAACGAAATGACGAGGTTATCTATTTGGTAATCAGTCTGTTTTCCAAACTTACTTAGATCATGCAGCTCATTTTCCACAAAATAGCTGTAAACGAACAGGAATATTTGTCTCAATGCGTATTTTTGATAGACCAAATTAACTTTCTTTTTTGATAAACTTATTCTTCTGGATTATTTTCTATTTTTCAGTTTCTGAGTTTATTAGATTAGGATGTTTAATGGATAAGTATCAATGCTACTTATATTACATGAAGTACTTCAAAAGATGCTTAACAACTCTTGATTCTTCCTTAGCTTTGAGAGAAGATGACCGACAGGCAAAAGATAAAGAAGCGATGTAAAATAATAATGTCATCAAGCCAGAAGACTTAATATGCCTACACGGCAAAGAAAAAAGTATGAAGAAATGGTATAACATTCGTTCTGCGTGGATGCAAAAGAAAAGTCCATTTATTTTTATCCTTAATAAATTCGCACTGCTGACAAGTTTTATTCAAAAAAAAACTCAAGAAACAAAGTAATAATGGAAAAAGTTAAGCTCCGTGTTCACTACTTTTTATTCTCAGATTGTAATTATTCTATTCCTCGTGAGCACAACTTAAAAAGTGCCTAAAACTTTTAACCAATTCAAAAAATTTACGATTTCAGTTGGCACTGTATTTATGGACCTAAAAAGTGGCAATAAATAAT